AGGGGGATTCTTTTTTGGTTTTTATTGCGTGGACGGGGTGTGAGGGATGAGGTGCGGGAGATGTGGGAGACACGGTTGAGGGCGTTCTCGACAACCGAGGAGGGGAAGTTACGGTCCTTGAAAAACGAGGACAACTGAGATGTACGGGAGTGGAATGCCTCATCCTGGGAGCAGATGCGGCGGAGGCGAAGGAATTGGGAATAGGGGATGGCATTTTTGCAGGAAGGTGGGTGGCAGGAGGAATATTCTAGGTAGCTGTGGGAGTCGGTGGGCTTGAAATGAATATCGGTTTCTAGGTGGTTGACCGAGATGGAGACAGAGAGGTCCAGGAAGGAGAGAAAGGTATTAGAGATGGTCCAGGTAAACCTAAGGCTTTTAAGATTATTTTTTACTGAAGTATAGCACAATATGCACAGGCTGTTTTTAACAGCCTTGCAAAAAGAAAACATCATTTATGTACAAGATCACATAGGAAGTGTTCACAGACTACTCAATTCTCAGTGGATGTTAAACCACATCTGCTCTCACCTAAATTCACAAGGGTAACTGGACGGGGATCAACTGCAAAAAAGATTAATGAGTTCTACAAACCGAAAGACATGCAGGCCAACTGTAATTCCTCTGGAACCGTTCCAGCCAAGATTTGCTAATTTAAAACAAAGTGAGCATCAAATTGACCTGTTTACAAAATGTTATGTAAAGATGTCCCTTTGGTTCGATAAATAAACCAGAAAACCAACATTGTTAATTACTCACAAAAACATCTAATTATTTCTGCTGTAAAAAGGCCTCTGTGATTCTTCCCATCAACACGGTTAAGTTATGTGAACAACTAGTCTGATGCCCATCCTGAACTGATTTTCTTAGCATTGCCAAAATCTACAACTCTTAACAATATTTACATAAACTGCATAATTTCAACTTTGGATATGAAAATCCAATCGCCTCCTATATGCAACAAATTTCAAAATTCTCCACGTTCAAGGCCATAACCGGTGACTCACCATAAACAACGATTAGGCAGTCAAAACTAATCTATGATCAAAAGTATGCCATCACACACTTCCACAGTAATTTTTATTTTAAATGTAGGCAACTTTAAGTCATTCTCTCTATGAAATTACACTTCAGATATGCTTTTACTGTTAGAATTCCACTAAACTAAATGCAAACAAAATCATAGTGGGAAATAGGAGGGCCTGGCCCCACTTTATCACGAGGGGGCACATGTCAGTCTTTTGCTAGCAGGGATGCTGTGATGAAATTGGGTCTGGACTCATGGGAAAACCTGCCTGATTCCTCATGCGATATTGCATATAGTGGTCAGCTCTTGCTATCTGATTGACAGTTCTTGGTAGGTGAGGAGAATTTCTGGTGCTGATAGGCACTTAGCTGGGTCAAGCCTTTCCATCAGAAATTTTGCTCAGTGTCATTACACAAGAACACAAGAACTCGGAGCAGGAGTAGGCCGTCTGGCCCTTCGAGCCTGCTCCACCATTCAATAAGATCATGGCTGATCCTTTCGTAAACTCAGATCCACTTACCCGCGTTCTCACCGTATCCCTTAATTCCTTTATTGTTCGAAAAAAATCTACCTTTTTTTTTAAAAAAGCGTTTACTGAAGTAGCGTCAACTACTTCACTGGGCAAGGAATTCCATAGATTAACAACCCTCTGGGTGAAGAAATTCCTTCTCAGTTCAGTCCTAAATCTGCTCCCTCTAATCTTGAGGCTATGCCCTCTTGTCCTAGCTTCACCTGCTAGCGGAAACATCCTCTCTACTTCTATCTTATCTATTCCCTTCATTATTTTATATGTTTCTGTAAGATCCCCCCTCAATCTTCTGAATTCCAATGAATATAATCCCAATCTACTCAGTCTCTCCTCATAAGCCAAACCCCTCAACTCCGGAATCAACCTAGTGAACCTCCTTTGCAACCCCTCCAGTGCCAGTACATCCTTTCTCAAGTAAGGAGACCAAAACTGCACACAGTACTCTAGGTGTGGCCTCACCAGCACCTTGTTGCAGCTGCAACATAACCTCTCTGCTTTTTATTTCAATCCCTTTAGCAATGAAGGACAAAATTCCATTTGCCTTCCTAATTACCTGTTGTACCTGCAGACCTACCTTCTGTGATTCATGCACAAGGACACCCAGGTCCCTCTGCATAGCAGCATGCTGCAACTTTTTACCATTCAAGTAATAATCCTTTTTACTATTACTCCTACCCAAATGTATGACTTCACATTTATTTACATTGTATTCCATCTGCCAGACCTTTGCCCACTCACTCAATGTATCTATGTTCCTCTGCAAAGCTTCACAGTCCTCTGCACACTTTGCTTTGCCACTCATCTTAGTGTCATCTGCAAACTTTGACACCCTACACGTGGTCCCCAGCTCCAAGTCATCTATAGAAATTGTAAATAATTGCGGTCCCAACACCGATCCCTGAGGCACACCACTAGTCACTGACTGCCAGCTAGAATAGCACTCATTTATCCCCACTCTTTGCTTCCTGGTAGTCAACCAATCCTCTATCCATGCTAATACTATACCCTTAATGCCATGCATCCTTATCTTATGCAGTAGCCTCTTGGCGGCACCTTGTCAAAGGCCTTTTGGAAGTCTAGGTACACCACATCCATTGGGTCCCCATTGTCCACCTCGCTCGTAATGTCTTCATAGAATTCCAAAAGATTTGTCAAGCATGACCTGCCCTTCATGAATCCATGCTGCGTCTGCCCAACGGGACAATTTCTATCAAGATGCCTTGCTATTTCTTCCTTGATAATAGACTCAAGCATCTTCCCCACTACAGAGGTTAAGCTAACTGGTCTATAATTCCCCATCTTTTGTCTACTTTCCTTTTTAAACAGTGGCGTCACATTTGCTGTTTTCCAATCTGCTGGGACTGCCCCAGAGTCCAGCGAATTTTGGATTACGAAGCAGAAGGCGGCCACTTGGCCCATGCTGGAAAAACATGCAATGCTTAAACTTTTAAAGTTATTTTACAGTTAGAATAATTTTACTTTCTGCCATTTGCACATGTCACCCCTTCTCAGAAGTTCAAAATAATCTTAAAATGCTGTGTTTCAGCACACTTCCACAGCATAACTGCTCTATACCTTCACAAATTTAGAATTATTAAAACATGGCCAATATGTAAAAACTGAAGTTGAACTCACATTCCATAAAATCTTGCCAGTCTTTAAAGGCACACATAATTGTATTCCTTTTGTACTGTATAATGATCTTGTTCTTACAAAAAATGCCATTTCTGATTTTGTGTGGGTCGTTCCTTAGAACAGTCATTATTTTAAAAATATATGCGCAAATGTTGAAAACTTTTTGCTTGTCAGTTGTCTTTCTTAAAATCAAAGCAGGGGATTACATTAAAGTTTTAATTCAGAAATATTGTACTTTACAGCATGACTATCTGTTGTGCCCAATTAACTTCATTAACATTTTGTGCCTGAAGGGGCTGGCCACACAAGCCTGAATGAAGAGCAGGCATTCATTAATTCCTGTTCAAGACTTAAATGTGCCTGTGTGTAATTTACAGGCTACTACAGTTAAAGCATGTGCTATATGAAGAATTGCTCAAAATGTATCAATATGATTTTGTCAGTACAATAACTGAAGTGCACACTTTATCAGGCTGTAATATTACCAAAGGGCTGATAGAGAAACAACGGAGTAAGGCAAAAAATACGATGAATGATAGGTGCTTTGTTTATACTGAGAATTATTACAAGGAAAGTCTCAAACTCAAAACAAATAGCATCACTTGAAAGCTTAACAGAGCATATGGATCTCTATTTTTCACCAAATGACTGGACAACGGAATGAAAAATCAGTTGTGAAGCAGAGTACCTGCAGTTCTTTAGACTAGGAATTCAAGTATCAATGTTTACATAAAAATTCACATTACTTAAAAGTACAATTATATAGCTTTTTATTCAGGTCTAGTAACAGGAACACTCATTATCTTAGTTTTCAGAACAAACCAGTTTGAGTCTTTCATCCAAATTTAACTGTTGAAAAGCAAAATGCTTATTCAACTGCCCTAAAACAGCATAACTACAGATTAATTTTAAGCAATACGTTGTTTAAAAAAAAAAATTAGGAAGACAGTAGGTAAATGAAAGAATCCTCTCATCTTAACATTGCTCCCTATTACACTAGTAATGGACCCTATTGCACGAGTAAATCCAGTGCTTCATAAAAAGAGAATGTTTGTCCCATGGATCACAACAGATGGTCTCACTCTTAACAGAGCTAAGATTTCAATTACGAGTCATAACAGAGCACTTAGCTGAGTTTAAGATAATCAGGCGGAGTCATCATGACTTTATGAAAGGGAAATCACTATGGACCAAACTAGTTGAATTCTCTGAAGTGGTTAACTCTGGATGAAGGGTAACTGGCAGATGTAGTATACTTCAATTTCCAGAAGGCATTTAATAAGCAGCCACGTCGTAGGTTATGGTGGAAAACAAATGTTTATAGCAGAGGATGCAGCACATTGGCATGGATAGACGATTGGAGACTAACAAGGAGCAGAGAGGAGGTGTAATTGATTCTTTTTTTAGGCTGGTAAGATGCAACATGTGATGTGCCACAGGGATCAGCATTTGGATCTCAGCTCTTCAAAATTTACATAAAATGACTTAAATAAAGGTATGGTTGCCAAATTTGCTTATGATACAAAGATAGTTAGGGAAGTAAGCTGTGAAGAGGACACAAAAAAGTTACAAAAGATATTGTTTAAGTGAGTGGGCAACAATTAAACAAATAGAGCAAATTGCAAAAAAAAACTGTCCATTTTGGCAGGAAGAGCAAAACAGATGCACATTATCTAAATGGTGACAAATCACGGAATTCCGAGGGGAATAGGAATCTGGGTGTCTTACTGTATCAATTGCAAATGGTTAGTATGTAGGTACAGTAAGTAATTAGGAAAGTTAATAGAATTGAGTCATTTTTCGTGAGGGGAGATAAAGACAAAAGTAGAAGTTATACAGGACATGGTGAAGCCACAGCCGGAGAACAGTGCACAGTACTGGCCATCTCTTTTGAAGGACAAACGTAAGTATCATTGGAGGCAGTTCAAAGAAGGTTTACTAGATTAATAGCTGGAATGGGTGTTCTGCCTTTTGAAGCAAGATGGGACAGGCTAGACTTGTGCCCACTGGAGTTTAAACAAATAAGCAGCTTGATTGAACAATAAAAGATCTTCAAGTGGTTTTAACAGGACAGATGTCATGAAGACGTTTCTCTTATGGTAGAATCTAGAACTAAGCTAACTGATTGAAAATCAGGAGAGTTTAAGTACAGTGTGTTCTCTCAGAGGTTATGAGTCCTTGGGACTACTTTCCTGAATGGGTGGAGAAAGTAGAGTCCTTCCCTCTCTTTAAGGCAAAGGTAGAGAGATTCTTGTTAAGTCAGGGTTGAAGGGTTATCAGAGGTAGATAGGAAGGAAGATTTGAAGTAACAGTCAGTCAGTCATAATTGCAATGAATGTTGGAGAATGCTCCAAGGGGCTGAATGGCCTACAGTGAGTCATAGTTGAGATAGTAGAACCAAAAATACCAAGTGATTATTACCAATGCAATATGGCTGCCACACATGCTCTCACACAGCCAGGGATATCACCTGTCCACAACAGGATGGGCTGCAGTAAGTGTGAATGATGTCCCCACATTCCATGTCTTCAATAGGGTATAATGAGGTTGAGGACATTTTGACAGGAAGACTTGAGATGAGAGGAATGGTGGAAGGAGCTGTGAAACAAAGCAGGGTGGTCCTTTCCAGCCAATACGAGCAAGTTCAACTTGGAGGGAGGTCATCATAATAATTTCTGGAAATGTCAACAGAGGCTTTCCAAACAAATTTTAAACCCCTCTTCTTGAACTTCCAAATCATTAAGTTCATTTTGAGTAATTAAAAAACAATCAAACCATATTCACAAAATGATCAGGAAATGCATATTGTTATTCAAATTTTTCATATCCTAATACTTGCATTTCTTCACCCCGCCCCACCACCACAACCGAGTGTAATATATTTTTGTTCTACCACCAGTGTCAACAGGTATACACGGTAGTCAGCACGTGTGTCATTTGTTTGCAGAATTCATTTACCTTTGGGTCTTACTTGGGATGCTGTTGCTGGTAATGTTTCAGTTGTTTTCAAATCAGATACTTGTGGCTCATTTGGTTCAGTAGTTCCTGAAGCTTCACTTGTTGAAGCCTGGTTTTGACCTACATGGTTTTCTTGGTTGTCACCTGCTGCTGCTGCTGCTACATTCTTTTGTCTATGCATCTAACAGAAAACAGAGGAACTATATATGAACTCAGCAGGAGACAAATCCATTGAATCCTCAACATTAACAGATAAAGAACTTCTGAAAAATACTGAAGCCATCCAAAATAGATGAGCTTTGGTAGATTTCAATCAGCAGCTGCCAAACAGTGGAATTTGAATGAATAAAGTTAAATGCTCTTACAGATCATCTGCAGAAAAGAAGTACTTTGCTCATACATAAAACTAATACAGGTGTCATACTTTTCTCTTGAACAATAGGTTCAATGGACCAATTGGTCTTCTTCTGTCCCTATGTTCTATAGAGTCATAAAGATATACAGCACAGAAACAGACCCTTCGGTCCAACATTTGATCCATATCCTTCTAAACTCTTCCTCTTCACACACCGATCCAGATGCCTTTTAAATGTTGTAATTGTACCAGCTTCCACCACTTCCTTTGGCAGGTCATTCGATAAACATACCTCCCTCTGCGTGAAAAAGTTGCCCCTTAGGTCCCTTTTAAATCTTTCCCCTCTCACCTTAAACCTACCCCCTCTAGTTTTGGACTCCCCACCACAGGGAAAAGACCCCTTGTCTATTTACCCTATCCATGCCCTTGTGATTTTATAAACCTCGAAAAGGTCACGCCTCAGCCTCTGGCATTCCAGGGAAAATAGCCCCAGTCTATCCAGCCTCTTGCTACAGCTCAAACCCTCCAGGCCTGGCAACATCCTTGTAAATCTTTTCTGAGCCCTTTCAAGTTTCACAAGAAAAACCGAAAGAACTGCTGATGCTGTAAATCAGGAACAAAAATAGAAGATGCTGGAAAAGCTCAGGAGGTCTGGCAGCATCTGTGAAGAAAAAAAAATCAGAGTTAACGTTTTAGATCCGGTGACCCTCCTCAGAACTGATGTAGCTACTAAAGTTTCACAACATCCTTCCTATTGGAGGGAAACCAGAATTTCACACTTTAATGGAACAGTAGCCTAACCAATGTCCTGTACAGTCACAACATGACCTCCCAACTCCTATACTCAACGCACTGACCAATAAAGGCAAGCGTACCAAACACCGCCTGCACTATCCTATCTACCGGTGACTTCACTTTCAAGAAACTATTAAAGTTGCTCTCCAAGGTCTCTTTGTTTAGCAACGCTACTCAGGAGTTCACCATTAAGTGTATAAGTCCTGCCCTTGTTTGCCTTTCCAAAATGCAGCACCTCACATTTACCTAAATTAAACTCCATGTGCCACTCCTCAGCCCATTGGTCCATCTAAATCAAGTTCCTATTGTACTCCGAGGTAATCTTCTTTGCTGTCCACTACACCTCCAAGTTTGGTGTCATCTGCAAACTTACTAACCATACCTCCTATGTTCACATCCAAATCATTTATATAAATGATGAAATGCAACGGACCAAGCACTAATTTTTGTGGCACACCGCTGATCTCAGGCCTCCAGTCTGAAAAGCAACCTGGGTCTAACCTCCACTCCTGAAACCCAGACCATAGTGTAGATCAATACTTCAGGACTGTTGCACTGCTCGAGGTGTTGTCTTTTCCACGAGGTCGAGTCAGTGATCTTGGGTGGTTATGAAAGATCCCACGTCACTATTCAAACAAACGCAGGGGAGCGGCTGGGCAACATTTATCTCTCAATCTAGACGACATTAGATTATTGGGCCATTTTCTTTCTGTTGCTTGTGGTATACTGATGTGCAACAATTGGCTGTTGCATTTTCATAACTTATGACAGTGATCATATTTCAAGAAGTCTTCACTGACTATGAAATGCTTCAGAAAATTCTTAGATCATGAAAACCCACGACATTAAACTAAGTGATGTTTTTCATTCTTTGAGTTAACACAATGCACTTGGTGTAACTAAATTATAAAGCATTACAGATCACATATGATTAATGTTTCACATATACGCATATTGATATGGTGCATTGAAGCTACAAAGTCACACCACACACTATCGGCTCAGAAGGGGCAGACTCTACCCAAAGGCTGCCATATAGGCTCAGAAGGGGCAGACTCTACCCAAAGGCTGCCATATAGGCTCAGAAGGGGCAGACTCTACCCAAAGGCTGCCATATAGGCTCAGAAGGGGCAGACTCTACCCAAAGGCTGCCATCAATTCAATAGCACAGCTAATTTCCAAATCATTTAAAAATTCAGACAAACTTTCTGCCAGACATAAAACAATTTTTGAGCTTGTTACAAAAACGAGTACAGGGAGCTAGGTTGGAAGCTGAAGTCCAGGACAAACAAGGCAGTTATCTCTGGATTACTACCAGTGCCACGTGATAATGAGGTAATAAATAGGGAGAGAGTGCATCTAAACACATGTCTACAGGGCTGGTGTAGGAGGGAGGGCTTCCATTATGTGGATAATTGGAGCACATTCTGGGGAAGGTGGGACCTGTACAGTAAGGACGGGTTGCACCTGAACCGGAAGGGCACAAATATCCCGGGAGGGAGGTTTGCTCGAGCTATACGGGATGATTTAAACTAGATTGGCAGAAAGTGGGGAACCGGATTTATAATTCAGAGGATGAGGTGTTCAGCCTTCCAACAGACACAACATTGAGCGAGGTTGTTAATAAAGAAATGCGGTCGATGGAGCGTAATTGTGGACACAGAGATGGTTTGAGGTGTGTATACTTCAATGCTAGAAGTATCAGAAATAAGGCGGATGAACTTAAGAGCATGGGTGGGTACTTGAAATTACGATGTGGCCATTACAGAAACTTGGGTAACTCAGGGAGAGGAATGGTTGTTGGAAGTTCCAGGATTTAGATGCTTTAAAAGAAATAGGGAGAGTGGAAAAAGAGGCGGGGGAGTGGCATTGCTAGTCAGGGCCGGTATAGCAGCTACTGAAAGGCAGTTTGAGAATGATATGTCTACAGAGTCAGTTTGGGTTGAGGTCCAGAACAAGAAAGGAGCAGTCGCTTTGTTGGGGTCTTTTTTTACAGACCCCAGTTGCAGAGAAGTAGAGGAGCGGATTGGGAGGCAGATACTGGAAAGGTGCAGAAGTCACAGGGTTGTAGTCACGGGTGACTTCAACTTTCCAAATATTGATTGGAAACATTTTAGTTGTAATAGTTTAGATAGGGTGGATTTTGTCCAGTGCGTTCAGGAAGGATTCCTGACACAGACAGACCAACACGAGGAGAGGCCACTTTGGATTTGGTGCTTGGCAATGAACCGGGCCAAGTGTTAGACCTGTTGGTAGGAGAGCATTTTGGCGGTAGCAATCATAACTGTTACTTTTACAATAGTCATGGAAAAGGATAGGTACATACAGCAGGGTAAGGTTTATAATTGGGGGAAGGGTAATTACAATTCTGTTAGGCAAGAACTGGGTAACATAAATTGGGAACAGATGCTGTCAGGGAAGAGCACTATTGAAATGTGGAGATTGTTTAAGGAATGCATACTGCGTGTGCTCGATATGTTTGTCCCTAGCAGGCAGGGAAGATGCAGTCGAGTGAGGGAGCCTTGGTTCTCAAGAGAGGTCAAACGACTGGTTAAGAGGAAGAAGGATGCTTATGTAAGGTTTAGGAAACAAGGAACGGAAAAGGCTCTAGAGGGTACAGGTCATCCAGGAAGGAGCTGAAGAAAGAGCTTAGAAGAGCTATAAGGGGGCATGAGAAAACCTTGGCGGACAGGATCAAGGAAAACTCCAAGGCTTTTTACACGTACGTGAGGAATAAGAGAATGACCAGAGAAAGGGTAGGACCAATCAGGGATTGTAAAGGGAATTTGTACACGGAGCCTAAAGAGATAGGAGAGGTCCTTAATGAATACTTTTCGTCGGTATTCACAACTTAGAAGGACCTAGTTGTAGAGGAGGACAGTGTGAAACAGGCTGGTAGGCTACAGGAGGTCAATGTTACTAAGGAGGATGTGCTAGGAATTTTGAGGAAGCTGAAGGTAGACAAGTCCCCTAGGCCTGATGGGATTTATCCAAGGATTCTATGGGAAGTGAGGGAAGAGATCGCAGGGCCTTTGGCGATGATCTTTTCATCCACACTGTCCACGGATATAGTGCCGGAAGATTGGAGAGAGGCAAACGTCATTCTATTGTTCAAAAAAGGGAATAGGGATAATCCTGGAAATTATAGGCCAGTTAGTCTTACATCAGTGGTGGGCAAATTATTGCAAAGGGCTCTGAGAGACAGGATTTATGATCACTTGGAAAGGCACAGTTTGATTCATGATAGTCAGCATGGCTTTGTGAGGGGTAGATCATGCCTCACAAACCTTACTGAATTCTTTGAAGAGGTGACCAAACACGTGGATGAAGGTAGAAAAGTGGATGTGGTATACATGGATTTAAGTAAGGCGTTTGATAAGGTTCCCCATGGTAGGCTCATGCAGGAGGTAAGGAGGCATGGGATAGGGGGAAATGTGGCAGACTGGATTCAGAATTGGCTGACCCTTAGAAGACAAAGGGTGGTAGTGGACAGAAAGTATTCAACATGGTGCTCAGTTACGAGTGGTGTACCACAAGGATCTATCCTGGGTCTTCTCCTATTTGTGATTTTTGAAAATGATTTGGATGAAGGAGTGGAAGGGTGGATTAGCAAGTTCGCGGACGATACGAAGGTGTGTCACGTTGTGGACAGTGCGGAGGGCTGTTCTAGGTTACAAAGGGACATTGATAGGATGCAGAGCTGGGCTGAGAAGTGGCAGATGGAGTTTAACCCTGAAAAGCGTGAGGGATTCATTTTGGAAGGACAAACTTGAAAGCAGAATACAGGGTTAACGGAAAGATTCTTGGTAGTGTGGAGGAGTAGAGGGATCTTGGGGTTCATGTTCACAGTTCCCTGAAGGCTGCCACCCAGGTGGATAGAGTTGTTAAGAAGGCGTATGGTGTGTTAGCTTTCATTAATAGAGGGATTGAGTTCAAGAGCCGTGAAGCAATGCTCCAGCTATACAAAAGCCTGGTTTGGCCACATCTGGAGTATTGTGTCCAGTTCTGGTCGTCTCATTACAGGAAAGATGTGGAGGCGTTGGAAAAGGCGCAGAGGAGATGTACCAGAATGTTGCCTGGAATGGAGGGAAGGTCTTACGAGGAAAGGTTGAGAGAGCTAGGGCTTTTCTCTTTAGAACGACGAAGGATGAGAGGTGACTTGATAGAGGTGTACAAAATGATCACAGGTATAAATAGAGTGGACAGCCAGAGACTTTTTCCTAGAGTGGAGGTAGCTATTACGAGGGGCATAGTTTTAAAGTGATTGGAGGTAGATACAGGGGAGACGTCAGAGGTAGGTTCTTTACTCAGAGTGGTAGGGGCGTGGAATGCATTGCTAGAGAGGGTAGTGGAGTCGGCCTCATTAGGGGCATTTAAGCGGCTGTTAGATAGGCGTATGGATGATAGTATAAGGTAGGGTTGGAGGTTAGATAGACCTTAGGATTAAGGTAAAAGTTCAGCACAACATCGTGGGCTGAAGGGCCTGTACTGTGCTGTACTGTTCTATGTTCTATGAAATATGCATATAATTCTGCTGTACTGAATTGCATTACTAAAACACATTCTAATTAAAGCCAAGTGTATGAATCTTCGTTAAATATGGTTTATACAGGAACTTCTAGGATTGCAGAACTGCGTATCTATCAATGGTTCAAAATAGTGCCAAATAAAGATCATGGTACATTACCAGTAATTCTGTTCTTTAAACGATTGCACTAGGTTTGCAGAAAAGAAATTCTGGTTTCCATACAGTCACACTCAAGTGTTTGATTAGTTTGCAAACTTAGTGATTAAAGAATTGTACTCAAAACTCAAATCCTGACTATTTAAAAAAGGGATAGAATTATGTAGTTTTTTTCCAAGCTACCAAGTTAAACTTTCCAAAGTTTCAATTTAGAGTAGCTTGAATCTCAGGAAACAAAGGTCATTCCCAAAATGGAATGAAACAAACATTTAATAGCTGAATCTCTATACATTTAAAATCAGAGAATCCCTACAGTGTGGAAACAGGCCATTCGGCCCAACAAGTCCTCAAGGACCCTCCAAAGAGGATCCCACCCAGACTCATCCGCGCCCCCCACCCTTTCCCCGTAACCCTACATTTCCCATGGCTAATTCATCTAACTTACACACCTGTATGTTAGGACCCCTGGATTCTATGGTCAATTTAGCACAGCCAATCACCTAACCCGCACACGTTTGGACTGTGGGAGGAAACTGGAGCACCCGGAGAAAACCCACACAGACCAGGGAGAATGTGCAAACTCCATTACAGACAGTCGCCCAAGGGTGGAATCGAACCCAGGTCCATGGCGCCGTGAGGCAGCAGTGCTAACCACTGAGCCACCGTGCTCAGAAATTAGATGATGGTTAGTAGTCTCAGTGCACCAGTATTATTGCGCGATTTGGTTGAGTTTCAAAATTCAAACATGAAAATCAAATAAAACAATACTAAGAAGCTTAATCATTACACAAAAGGATAATTTCAAATTGCTTACTTCCTTAACTTTCTGAATTCGCGTTACTAGTTCCACTGCAGTCACACTTCCAGCAATAACTTCCAATGGGATTCCATTGTCTCCTATAAAAAAGCTTGATGGAATGCACACCACAGGATCTGGATGTTATTAATTTAGGGTACTATACAGAGAAAATGTGAGATAAGTTGGACAACACCTGTTATTGATCGTGAATTTTTGTCTACAATTCAAGGCAACAGCTTCAGAAGTTTCGACTTCTAAAGATTTGCAAAATTATAGTACCTGCACTAAATTACTTGCATCAAAATTTGTTACTGATAAACAGCTGCTGTCTATTTTCATGCCTAATAAAGCAAATGTTTTGACCACAATGTAAATCCAATGGTTCTTAGAAAGCAAACAGCTGCATGAAAAAGCCAGTGTCTGACAGCTATCTGTAGCATAAATCTAAAATCTCTCCCAAAGGAATTAATTCCACTAGTTGTTCTGCATTGTGTGAAAACCCGTTTGCGAATTCTTGAACAATGTGCCCTTTCCTAACATGAATGAAACAAATGGTCCATCATGAGGACTATCTCAAAATAATGGAAAAATTCATTTACGTGGATGCTAAAGAATTTCTGTTCTCATTAATTTCATTCTTCATCTTAAAATTCATCTTTTCAACAAAAAGAACTATTTTTGGTCGCTTCTTTCATCATCACGACTCGGTCTTTTTCACTTATCACAAGAACTCAACAATCTATTGACTTAGTCTTCTTAATTTCCCAGTTCTAATTCAGTGACATACAAGTCTTATCAAGGAATCCTGCTAAAGGCTCAGTAACTTTGCAGTCAGCTAGCTTTGGTAAATCATTGTTTGGAATACTTTCCTCTGCCTTTTACTAAGAAGAAGTGAAAAAGCAGAGTCCAGCTTACACTCACTATAAAGCAATAAAGCTCAAAAAAAGTTCAAAAAGGTACTGCATTTGCAAATATACAGTGGCTTATTCACAACTTACTGCATTTTATTCGACTTCTAACTCCATCATAAAGTTCCTTTATACCATAAATGCTAAAGGCATGTGAATAAACTTTCACAGAAATCACAAGGTTCAAGTTTAGATTCACTAGATGGGTTGAACTTATCAATGGATGTAACAGTCTGTAGTCAGACAGAAACTATATTCCAAAGTTCCTCAAAATACATACCATTATCATATAATTAAGAGAGAAATAATTGTCATTTTATAAAAATTAAAATAAATGAAAACAACACTGCTATTCAGATTGCAGGCTTCTTTGACTGATGTTCAATAAGGCACAGCAAGGTGGCTATTTTGGACTAAGTGGAGAGACCCTCATGAGAACTTCATGTTTAGTGTATTTGAGTGTGAGAGATGATAGGGGTGGCACTTCTTAGAATTTAATTTTCATCTGTATAGACATCTTGCTATCCTCGTATCAAGGTGATTTTGGTGTCATTTTTGTATACAGAGCACTCAGTGAATGCAAACCATCTATTTACACATTGTAGTTGGCATTTCTACATTATCATATGGAGTTCACTTACTGGTACTGACATATTTTTGGACTTTAGCTTCAAGTGGACATCTCTGGATTACAGTACCACAAAAGAAGACTGCTTTTATGCATAATACACTTCAAGAACAGCTTTGTTAAACAATAAAAGGATACAGATTTGAGAAAACTGCACACATGTTTCACTGTAGAAAAAAGTAATAAACACCTTTATCAAATATTACAATGGCAATTACTTGCTTGAAAACATTACAATAATAATACATCACATCAAAAGCAACATCCGCAATTAAGCAAACTGCCTGCAATTGAGCCACTTGCCTTTTAGCATCAATTTTAATAGCAACAAAAGAGTTTGCAGTTGCATCTGCTACTTCTTCAGCCTCCCAACTTGCAGCCATCCGTGCTGACTGTTCATCATCCCCTAAAAATAACCAGCATTCAAAATATATCAGTGATACCCCGTGCAACATACGCAGTTATGTTCATCTTCAAATCATATCAACCTATATTATTCTGTACTATAATTTTTTCAGTTTATTATTTCACACAATTTGGGCATTACTGGCTAGGTCAGCATTCATTGTCCATCCCTAATTCCCTTTGAGAAAGTGGTGACGTGCCACCAACTTGAACCATTGCAATCAATGTGCTTAATGCGATCTTATGCAACTGCAAAAGTCCATTTATGGTGAATGTGAACGACGCATTAGATCAATATTTTGCAGTATTTATGCATATTTGGAAGATCTGCAAAGTAAAATGCACCAAAAATTAGTATGTCTACAATGTCATCTAGAAAAACAATAAGTAAATTCAGACAGAATGGAATTAATATTTTCTTTTATTTGGTACTTGAGAACTCTTCATTTCTGTAACTTGAAAGCCTCAGAAATATATCAAAGATAAATGAAAACTACAGAAAAGGTTAAAATATAAAAAATACTAAATACTAGAAAGCTGATATAAAACAAAATGCTGGAACAATCAAAGAAAAAAAAACTTCGCATGCAAGCATTTTTATTTTTGGTACAAGTTTTGCCTAAGTATTTCCAGAATGTTCAGTTTTGGTTTAGTGATAATAAGAGCTAGTTTTCTTTATTTATACTACAGACTGAAAGCAGATACCGCAATCCTGATGTTAAATATGTGCGAACAGCAACATAAACATATCAAGTATCTTGATTATTCATGATTAAATGAGAAACCGCCTTCAAACAATGATCAGACACCAAAAGATTACCATGAACACATGCACAACTGAATAGCAATTTTATTAATTTTAATAAAAGCAAGCCCCTCTTTCACCTATGATAGTTTGCATTGCCCACTGCCCATAATGGGCTTTGCCTGTAAAGAGAATTATCGAGTTATACCGCACAGAAACGGACCCTTCACTCCAACTTTTCCATACCGACCACATAACCGAAATAAATCTAGTCCCATTTGCCGGCATTTGGCCCATTTGGCCCGTTTGGCCCATATCCTTCTAAACGCTTCCTACTCACGTACCAATCCAGATGCCTGTTAAATGTTCTAATTGTACCAGCCTCTACCACTTTCTCTGGCAGCTCATTCCATGCATGTATGAAAAAGCTGCCCCTCAGGTCCTTTTTAATTCTTTCCCTTCCCACCTTAAACCTCTGCCCTCTAGTTTTGGACTCCCCTATTTTTGGAGAAAGACCTTGGCTAGTCACCTATCCATGCCAATCATGATGTTTTAAACCTCTACAAGGTCACCCCTCAGCCTCCAATGCTCCAAGGAAAAATAGCCCCAGCCTATTCAGCCTCACGCTATCGCTCAAACCCCAGCAACATTGTTGTAAATATTTTCTACACCCTTTCAAGTTGAACAATACCTTTCACAAAGCAGGGAGACCAGAACTGCATGCCGTATTCCAAAAGTGGCCTAACCAATGTCTTGTACAACTGCAACTCCTACACTTGATGCACTGAACAATAAAGGCAAGCATACCAAATGCCTTCTTCACCACCATGTCTACTTGCAACTCCACTTTCAAGGACCTATGAACCTGCACTCCAAAGTCTCTTTGTTCGGCAACACTCCTCCAGGACCCAACCATTACGTGTACAAGTCCTGCTGTGATTTGCCTTACAAATCTTTTGAGAAATAACAAAGCTGATGAAGGAAATCCGATGGATATTAGGCAAGTGTTTGATAAAGTGGCATCAGTGTATGGTTAACAAAACTGGAGCTCACAAGAGTCACCAGCTTGGATAAAAATTGGCTTAATAACAAAAATACAGCAAGTTGCAGAAATTATTCTCGTTGAAGGTGATTTCCAAGAAACAGGTATAACAGACTCACTTTTTTTTGATATACATAAATGATTTGGACACTGGAATAGAGATTGGAATTTCAAAATTTTCTAAAGATACCATGGTTGGAGAAGTGGCAAAGAACAAAGATGATTTCAATCAACAGCAACAGATTAGCAGAATTGACAAACAAGTGGCAAATAGAGTAGCGAGAGGTGAAGCATTTTAGCTAAAAATCAGCATTTTTAGGGAATGCAATACCTCATGCACAGTTCTAAAGAGTGTGTGGGGACAGGGGGACCTTTGGAATGCACGTGCAGGGAAATAATTCTGAACATTCATACAGTTTTGATTAGGCCGCAAAAAGAGTACTCTCTCCCTTTCTGATCAGTACACTTTAGGAAGAGTATGAAAACATACAAAGGAGAAGCATTTTTATACAGCCAATCAACTGGATGAATTTCACAGATCTCGAGGATAGTAATCACTGGATTACTCCTGGTGCCACATGGTAGTGACAGTACAAATAGAAAGACAGGGCAGATGAATGCGTGGCTGAGAAGCTGGTGCAGGGGACAGGGATTCAGATTTTTGGATCATTGGGATCTCTTCTGGGGCACTGGTGACCCCGTGCAAGAGGGATGGGTTGCACCTGAACTGGACAGGGACCAATACCCTGGAGGGGAGATTTGTTAGAGCCACTCAGGAGGGTTTAAACTAGTCTGACACAGGGGTGGGACCCTAAACAGTAGTGAGACAAAAGAGAAGGTTGAGGCGAGTGCACAAGTTAAATAGACAAGGCAAGCAAGAACACGAGTGAAGGAACGAGTGAAGAGTGATGAGTGATGAGTTAAACTGCATTTATTTCAATGCAAGAGGCAGGACAGGTCAGGCAGATGAACATGGATGGGAACGTGGGACTGGCATATCATAGCTACTACAGAAACACGGCTGAGGGACTGGCAGCTCAATGTTCTGGGGTTTCGGATGCTATAGGAAGAATGGAATGGGAGGCAAGACAGGAGGGGGATTGGTGCTATTGATTCAGGCAAACTTCACAACAGTACTTAGAGAATATATTACTGGGGACCGTCCACTGAACCTATATGGGTGGAACTGAGAAATAAAAAGGGGGTGATCACTTTGATGGGACTGTACTCTCAGCCCCTCAATAGCTGGGAAATTGAGGAGCAAAATGTAGGGAGATCGCAGATAGCTGTATGAATAATAGGGTTATAATAGTAGGGGATTTTAACTTTCCAGACACAGACTGGGACTGCCATGGTGTTAAAGGCTTGAATGGTGAGAAATTTGTTAAGTGTTTCTAGGAAAACTCTCAATCAATATGGAGATGGCCTTATTAGAGAAGGGGCAAAACTTGACTCCTCTGGAGAAAAAAAGATAGAGCAAATGACAGATATTCGTAGGGAAGCACTTTGGGGCCAGTAAGCATAATTCTATTTGTTTTAAAACAGTTTTGGACCAGGCCAGGTCTCGTCCACGAGTTAAAGTTCTAAATTGGGGCAATGCCAATTTTGATGGTATTAGACAGGAAGTTTTAAAAGTTGATTGGAGCAGGCTGTTCATAGGTAAAGGGACGTCTGGCAAGTGGGAGGTTCTGAAAGTGAGATGATGAGAGTTCAGGGCCAGCGTGTTCCTGTTTAGTGAGAAAGGCAAAGGAACACTGGATGACTAATGACATTGAGATGCTGGTCAAGAAAAAGGAGGCATAGGCAACTTGGATCAAGTGAATCCCTTGAGGAGTGTAGGGGTGTAGGAGTACACTTAAGAAGGAAATCAGGAGGGTGAAAAAAAACAGGAGGTGGTTTTGCCAGATAAGGTAAAGGAGAATCCAAAGAGATTCTACAAGTATATTAAGGGCAAAGGAGTAACTAGGGAGAGAATAGGGCCCCTTAAAGATCAATGAGGTCGACTATGTATGGAGCCAAAGGAGATGGCCAAGATCCTAAACGAGCATTTGTCATCATTTATCATGGAGAAAGACATGGAAGCTGGGGAACTAGGGAAAATAAATACTGATGTCTTGAAAAGATTCCACATTACTGAGCAGGAGGTGCTAGAGGTCTAAAAACCCAAAGGTAGATAAATCCCCAGGGTCTGATCAAGTGTATCCCCGGAAATTGTAGGAAGCAGGGAAGAAATTGCAAGGCACCTAGTCGATATATGTGCATCATCGACAGCCAGGGGTGAGGTGCCTGAAGACTGGACAGTCACTAATCTTGTGCTATTATTTAAGATAGGCTGCAAGGAAAACACAGGGAACTACCAGTGAGCCTGACATCAGTGGTGGGTAGTTTGTTGGAGGGGATTCCGAGAGACAGGATCTACATGCATCTGGAAAGGAAGGAAAGATTTGGGATAGTCACCATGGTGGAGTGTTTGGGATATCATGTCTGACAAATTTGATTAAGTTTTTTGAAGAGGTGACCAAGAAGATAGATGAAGGCAGAACAGTGGACGTTGTTGAAGGCCTTGCTAAAGTCTATGCCGACAAGGTTCCACATGGTAGACTAGTTAGTAAGGTTAGATCACATGGAATCCAGGGACAGCTCGTCAACTGGATGTAAACTAGGCTTGATGGTGGTAGTAGTAGAGGGTTGTCGTTCAGACAGGAGGCCAGCGAGCAGCAGTGTGCCACAAGGATCCACTGTTGTTTGTCATTTCTATAAAACGATTTGGATGAAAACATAGGAGAAATGGTTAGAAGTTTGTGGATGACACCAAAATTGGTGGTATAGTGGACACAGTGAAGGTGGTTATCTAACAGTACAATGGGATCTTAATCAACTGGGCTAATGGGCTGAGGAATGGCAGATGGAGTTTAATGCAGGTAAACACAAGGTGTTGCATTTTGATAAGACAAACCAGGACAGGTCACATCCAGTTAACGGTAGGGCGCCTGGGAGTATTGCTGAACAGGGAGACCTAAGGTTGCAGGTACATAGTTCCTTGAATGTTGTGTCACAGAAAGACAGGCTGGTGAAGAAGGTATTTGGCACATGTGCCTTCATCGGTCAGAGTACTGAGCACAGGATTTGGGACATTGTGTTACAGCTGTACAAGAAATTGGTAAGGCCACATTTGGAGCTATGCATAGAATTCTGTTCACGTTGTTATAAGAAGGATGCTATTAAACTGGAAAAGATACAAGAAAGATTTACAAAGATGTTACCGAGACTGGAAGGTTTGAGATACAAGGAGAGGCTGAATAGGCTGGGACTTCTCCCTCAACCTCTAAGGAGCGAAGGGGCTGAGGGTTGACCTTTATCGAAGTTTATAAAATCATGAGGGATGCATTGATAAGGTGAATAGCCAAAGTCTTTTCCCTAGGGGAGGGGAGTCCGAAACTAGAGGGCATAGGTTTAAGGTGAGAGGGAAAAGGTTTAAAAGGGACCGGAGGGACAACTTTTTTCACAGTGTGTATATGGAACAAGCTGCCAGAGCAAGTGGTACGGGTGGTACAATTACAACACTAAAAGGCATCTGGATGGGTATATGAATAGGAAAGGTTCAGAGGGATATGGGCCAAATGCAGTCAAGTGCGACTAGTTCAGTTTAATAAACCTAGTTGACATGGATAAGTTGGGCCAAAGGGTCTCTTTCTGTGTTGTATGACTCCTATGAGGATAATGGAAGTGGAAACAATGAACAAATCCAAAATGAAATTGGATGGATGTTTGAAAGAAATAACATGCAGGACATGGGAGAAGAAATAGGAGAATGGGTATGGATTCTCTGTGGAAAGCTGACATAAGCTGGGTGGGCTGAATGACTCCACGGCAAGTAAGTTACAAATATTTATAAATACACAAATCATAAAAAAGTAATGAACCAGCAACAAAAGATTAGGGTTTTCATATACAAGACAATAATTAGGAGGGAGAAGAATCAAATCAAGAGTTGAGTTTATTTTGACAGTACTACCATTTCTGAAGGCAAAATTTATAAAGCATTTCACAAATGACAATTTTAGCAAAGTATAATTGTATACAGCCAAGGCTTGAATGTTAGTCTGTACCTGCTGTGCTAACTTTTGTAATAACAGTATCTTCCTTTCTTGAGATAGGAAAATTAGGTAATGTTAATTAAAAGTAAAACTTGTGTGTTACGATTCATTGCTTGATCTCCAAAGCAAAAGTGAAATGCCTCATTTGCTCAACCTATTGGCAGATATGTTTAAATTGTTAGATTGGTTGAATTAATGTCTAATAAATTTAGCAAGTTAAATAGGACACTATTTTTAGTCATAAACATTCAAAGGTCAAATGTAGGCATACTTTCGACATCATTTGTGGGCAGGGTAATTTTCCAAATAGTTGATCCCTATGCACGCTTGTGTCTAAAATTTTAATTTTCAGGGTTTGAGACACACAGCCTCTTCTTCCTTGGGCAGCTCAGGAAATTTGGCACGTCCATAAAGGTCCCTCGCCAACTTCTATGGATGCACCACTGAAAGCTTACTGTCTGGGTGCGTAACGGCCTGGTATGGCAACTGCTCTGCCCAGGACCGTAAGAAACTTCAGAAGGTTGTGTACACAGCTCAGACCATCACGGAAGCCAACCTTCCATCTACGGACTCCATTTACATGGCTCACTGACGTGGAAAGGCAGCTAACATCAAAGACCAATGCACCCTGGTAAGGACCTTCTACGACTTCTTCAGTCAAGCAGAAGGTACAGAAGCCTGAACGCACGCATAAGCAGGTTCAGGAACAGCTTCTTTCTGGCTGTTATCAGATTGTTCAATGGACTCTAGCCTCAAATAATGTAACCTGCAATGTAACCTGTATGCCTCGAAGTCTATTTGTTCTGTACATCCCTTGCTTGCTGTGATCTGCCTGTGCCACTCGTAAACAAAGCTTTTCACTGTATTTTGGTACACGTGGCAATAAAATCAATTAATTCCATATTAGACTTGAAATGTAAACTTTCAAAATTAACAACTCTAACTGTACACTAGGCAATCATTTGCAAAATTATTAAAGGAAGCTAATTAATTAATGTAAATATACTTACAATCAAACATGAAGCAACCAATAAGGTATTCATTTTGCACACTGTGGAAAACTATTTAAAAGGAAACATATTTACAGAATCCCTTTGCTGTGGGCACAGTATAGTGCCCTTTGTTGACTACCAAAAGATGCCAATTAAGGATCAGGACAGGCTTCAGATGCATCAGGACATGAGAATTCAAATAAAGCAAAACCAAAGTGGAAAATAATACCAAAGTACAAACCAAGGCTACAACACAGACAAGTAATATGGATGCTTCTAATTATTTTACTCTTTTGTCAGCCATCTTGAATTCCCCTTTCCCTTTCACTCCTCCAGACTGTCACATGCTGATATATCGTCCCCAAAACATCAGCATCCTTCTGGTATTTTACTCAAGTGGCAGTGTTTCACACATTAGCCCTTCATTCCAATGCTGGTGCCAGTTTCATGGCAATGGTTATCACAACTGGGTCAAATTTGGTCTTCATTTGACATTTGCACATTTCTAACTATGCTCACCAAACAGTAACTGACTGTTTCTCTACGCATCTCCCATCGCCTTTTAACCCCTGACCATTTTCAATCCAATAAATTAAACCCCATGCAGTATTCCCATCATTTCCCTGCTAAGATCTAATAGGTAAGTGGAACTCAGCAACATAACTTAATTCCATTCCTTTCCCTTATGTATAACATGCAGAACAAAATGTTCAGGCTAAAGTTCTGTGAGATCAACTTACAAGCGGTGCTAAAATCAATGTTCTTTATGTATATAGATTCAGGGAGAGACAGGATGTTTGTCTGGCCCAAAAAGTTTGGACAATAACATCTGCAAGGAGACATCATCATCACACAATAAAATAAACTTTAACACGATAAACGGAGGCACAGATCAGAGCAGCATGGTATTTATCGTCTGTGCAGCACACAGCCCTTCCCTTCCATCCATCAAGTTGTTTTTCGGAAGTTTACCAAACTCTGCCGTTCAAATCCTCCCTTGCCTCTCCGTGCTTTGGGATATCGGAGACGCAACACCATTTTAATCAAAGACAACAATCCGCCTTGCAAAACATCGATAACAATTCCAAGGGAGGAGGCGTCTAAATATTCAATCAGGCCTCTACTCAATTTAATCTGGCAGCCGGTTGCTGCAGAGGAAACTACACAGTAATAATAAAAGTAGAAACAGTAAATGTAAACAGTGTGCACAGAGCTGACGTGTCCGGCCTATCCGAGGGCACGGTGAAGCCGAACCGACGAGGCTCCTTGGCGGCTAGGCCATGTCCATCTCCTCCCTCCCCTCCATACCTCGAATAAAAACAATAAAAACCGCGTTCTGTTGCTTGGCGAAGGCGATGGCGTCTGGAATGCTGCCGTTGAACCAGCGCATGGTGGTCGTCGGTCTGTCGCTGTCTGATCGCCTGAGCTCGGCGAAACACCGCTCAGGTTCTCCCGTCCCCAAACCCCCTCCAACACCGGACCCGTTCACAACGGCGATGACGCAGCACCCACCTTGCACCAGTCACACTCACCCCAGCGCTGTCAATTACTGCCTCTTCCCACCCCCTAACCAAGGACTGTCAATCACTGGCTCCGCCCGCCCCCTCAAACGCTACGCTATCAATCACCGGCTCCTCGCGCCCTCCCTTAACCCAGGGCTGTCAATCACCGGCTCTTCCCGCCCCCCCAACCCAGGGCTGTCAATCATCGGCTCCTCCCGCCCCCCACAACCCAGGGATGTCAATCACCATCTCCTCCTGCCTCCCTCTAACAGCACCGTCAATTACCGGCTTCTGTCTGACGCTACGCTTGGTGGGTGAGTGTGGTGTGAGGAGGATGCCAGGAGGCTGCAGGGTCACGTGGACTGACTGGGCAAATACCTGGTGAATGCAATATAATGTGGAGAAACGTGAGGTTAACCACTTTGGTCACAAAAACAGGAAGGCAGATTATTATCTGAATGGTGGCAGTTTAGGAAAAGGTGAGGTGCAATGAGACTTGGGTGTCATGTTGGAACAGTCGCTGAAGGTTGGCATGATGGTGCAGCAGGCAGTGAGGAAAGCTAATGGCATGTTAGCCTTCATAGCCAGAGAGTTTCAGTTTCGGAGTAAGGATGTCTTACTGCAGTTGTACAGGGCCTTGGTAAGACCACAGAACAAAGAACAAAGAAAATTACAGCACAGGAACAGGCCCTTTGGCCCTCCAAGCCTGCGCCGATCCAGATCCTCTATCTAAACTTGTCGCCTACTTTCCAAGGATCTGTATCCCTCTGCTCCATGCCCATCTGTCTAGATACATCTTAAATGATGCTATTGTGCCCACCCCTACCACCTCCGCTGGCAACACGTTCCAGGCACCCACCACCCTCTGCGTAAAGAACTTTCCACGCATATCTCCCATAAACTTTTCCCCTCTCACCTTGAAATCCTGACCCCTAGTAATTGAATCCCCCACTCTAGGAAAAAGCTTCTTGCTATCCCCCCTGTCTATACCTCTCATGATAAGCTTGAGTATTGTGTGCAGATTTCCTAGTCTGAGGAAGGATGCTCTTGCTGTTGAGGGATTTCAGCAAGGGTTCACCAGACTGATTCCTGGAATGGCAGTACTGACATATTAGGAAAGACTAGATCGACTGGGCTTGTATTCGCTGGAATTTTAAAGAACGAGGGGGGAATCTCATAGAAATGTATAAAATCCTGATGGAACTGAACAAGCTAGATGCAAGAAGAATGTTCCCAATGTTGGGGAACTCCAGGACAAGTGGTCACAGTCCAAGACTAAAGAGTAAGCCATTCAGGGCTGAGCTGAGGAATAATTTCTTCAGTCACAGAGTTGTGAACCTGTGGAATTCTATCCCACAGGAACCTGCTGGGGCCAGTTCATTAGATATATTCAAGAGGGAGCTGGACACGGCTCTTGTGGCTAAACGAAATCAAGGGGTATGGAAGAGGGTGAGAATGGGATACTGAGATTACATGATCAGCAATGATCATATTGAATGTTGGTGCAGGTTCAAAGGCTCCTGCACCTATTTTCTGTGTTTCCTCCTGCCCCCTCACCCTAGTGCCAATCACTGGGCTTCCCCCAACAGTGCTGTCAATGACTGGGTCCTCCCCTCATCAAACATCAATCACCAGATCCCACCATGCCTTGTCCCACGAATCACCAGGTCTTCCCACACCCCCCCATAGTGTCAATCACTGGGTCTCCTCCGCCCCCAGCATCAATCACTGGGTTGTCCTATGTCCCACACCCTGCCATTCCCTAGTGCCGTCAATCATCAGATCTCCCCTCCCCCCACAGCTGCCAGTCACCAGGTCCTCATGCCACAGGGAGGTGCTGACTGATGAACTGTACCCTGTCAGTAACAGGTCAAGCGCAGCATTGGGTTTATGCAATTAGTTCCCATGGTAGCCATGAGAACAAGTTTGAGATTTTTTTATTTATTCATTTGTGGGACGTAGGTGGCGCTGGCTGTCTGCTATTTAATGCCCGTCTCCTAGTTCCTCTCGAGGACGTGGTGACCCTTCTTGATCTACTGCATTGCAGATACCATAAGGCGAGCCTGAGAGTTACTTTGGTCACGAGACGTTAACTATGTTTCTCTCTCTCCAAGGTTGTTGCTCGTGTTTTTCTAGAACTTTAATGTTTTTTAATCAACTCAGCAGGTCTGGCAGCATCCACGGAGAAAACACAGTCAACGTTTCGGGTCCAATGATTGTGTTAGAGTTACTGGACCAGAAACATGAACTCTGCTTTCTCCCCATAGATGTCGCCAGAGTAGCTGAGTTTCTCCAGCACTTTCTGTTTTTGTTTCAGCTTTCTGGCATCTGCATTTCATTGCTTTTTGTTTGTTTGGTTGTAAGCTCCAGCCTCTGCAGTACTTCACTTTTATTGATACAGGCATGTCTGCTCTTTCAGAGTTAGTGGCAATTATTCAAAGTGCAGGTAAATGTTAATTTGCAAAACTGTCCATATTTAGGATACTGTTGGCTTCATGTTAAAACATTTCAGCTTCAGTGGAAAATGAACAGCTGCAAAGCTGGGGCCAGTTGACAGTGCCACACATGCACTTCTCCATAGCAGACGGATGGTTGGTAATGTCACAGTGGACAATGATCTGCTGTAATGACATTATCAATGGGTTACATCACTTATGATGACATCAATGCTGCTGGTATTCACCAAAATGTGCCAACCACAGTTGACCTAACAAAGGCCCTTCAAGGGGGCCACTTTCATGGTGGGGGGGTACGGTGGAAACATTCATTATTGCGAAAAAAGCAGCAGAGGGAAAAGTCTTTCTGTTCAAAGGCAGTGTGACACACTTCCGGATCAAGTGGAACTTGAACCTGGACTTTGCTGGCACAGAAATAAGGACACAATCATGGCACCACAACAGGCCTAACACAAGAGGGATATACTGAGTTACTGCAAGTTATTGGATGTAAGGGGAGAAAAGAATTGGAGACAGTAAGCTGGGACAACAATTGGTTTTTAGCACAACACAGGTGAAGTTTTCAAACACAACAAGGACTGCGAAAACTTAATTTGTTTGACAAACTGATTATGGTCTTTGAAGTAACAGAAAGTTCATGAGGGTATGTGCTTGTATTTCTGGAACATCAATCAGCACTTAATACAGTAGCATATAAGAGACTCATTATTAAAGTCCACAAGGTTGAAGGAATGCAATGATACAAAATTGGTGAAGAACAGGAAATAGATAGTAGCAACAAGTAGTAGAAATGTTGCCAAGGATGACTGTTTCACTGCTCCTCTCTCTTTCACACACACACACACACACACACCTATACAGACAGTTATTTATAAATAATTGACTGTATATGTTTGTGTGTCTGCTAAAGAGCATGTCAATACAGCTTTACTGATAGCTTTTGGCTGCAGCTGATGCGATGTTAATAGGCATGGTATGACATTCGTGGATGCTCTGTGCATGCAGTAAGGTGCTAGGTGCATGAACAATAAGAGGGCACCTAAACAGCCCTGAAATGCTGCTAGGTCCAATCCATGAGTAGGGTACCTATCCCTAATGTAGTCTTTCAGTGCTAGTTGCTAGTGTACTCTGCAATGCACATTTGTGCTTTCCAAGCAGCCCACAAGTGGATTTGAGAGGTGCCATGTCATCCTGAGGAGTTGGCAAGTGTCTGAAGGCATTGTCCATAGACAACAGGTGAGCGCTACTGGTACCCCGTGATGCTGTTTGGTGCTGAGCAAGAGTCAGAGAGATTTTAAAGCACAGAAAAAAGGCTCTTATTTACATTATATCCACAGAGCATCAAATGTCAATCTATTCTCATTTTACTTTCCAGCACTTGGCCCATAGCCTTGTATAGTATGGAGCTTCAAGTACTTCTCTAAATAATTCTGCACTGTCTTCAAGGTTTCTGCCTCTACCACCCTTTTAGGCAGTGAGATCCAGATACCCACCATCCTCTCCATGAAATTCCTCATACCCCTCTTAACCTCCTGATTCTTATCTTAAAACTATACCCTGTGGTTATTGACCCATCTACTAAGGGGAAACATTTTTCTCTATCTACCCTCATAACTTTGTAAACTTCAATCACATCCCCCCTCAGCCTCTCTACTCCAAGGCAAACAACCCCAGCCTCTATCGGCTGTGTTCATAGCTGAATCCAGTTCAAGCAACATCCTGGTGAATCGCTTATGCAAAGAAAAATCAAAGAACTGAAGATGGAGATAAGAAACAAAGACAGAAATTGCTGGAAAAACTCAGCGGATCTGGCAGCATTGTGGAGAGAAAACATAGTCAACGTTTCAGATCTAGTGACCCTTCTTCAGAACGGTTCTGAAGAAAGGTCACTGTACCGGAAACAGTTACTCTGGAATCTTTTCTGCATCCTCTCTATTTGAATCACATCCTTCTTTATTGTGTGGGGACCTGAACTGCGCACAGTACTCCAGCTAACATCTTATACAGCTCCATTAAAACCTACCTGGACTTGTATTCAGTGCCTTGATTATTAAATGGAAGTAAGCCAAATACCTTCTTAATCACCTTACCGACCTGTTCTGCAACTTTCAAGGATCTATGGACATACAGATCAATGCTCCTCTGACCATCTGTACTTCCTTGGGTTTTACCATTTAACCTATACCCCCTTGCCTAGTTAGTCTTCCCAAAATACACCACTTTACATTTCTCAGGATTAAATTTCATTTCCCACTGTTCAGCCCATCTGACCAGCCAGCCTAAATCATCCTGGACATCAAAGTCCATCAGAGCATATGGCAAGCTGAAATTGCAGGTACCTGCTCTGACTTCCATGTCGAAATTTTCTGACATCTAGCTTGTATGAGAGGCTGGATATTAATGAGATAGCTTGTTGAATCCAACCTATGATCCCCATTAACTGGTCACTTTCCAAGAAAGCTAATGTGATGCTACCCTTTATATCGAGGGGACTGGAGTACAAGGGTGCAAAAGTAATGCTGCAGTTATACAAAACCCTGGTTAGAC